AGTGTTTCCAGGGTTGATAATATACAAAACAGACTCCATTCCTTTTGATCCAAATGCTATATTTGTCAATCCTCATCAATACATTCTATAGCACAGCCATCAGTACATACTGTATATTTCCAAAGTTTTAAGTGTCGCCAACACTCAGACCAACAGGTGCAGCCTTAAAATTTAAGCTTTTTCATTAGAATCAACAGAACAGTGGAAATTCACATTCTTTGAGTCAGTCAAAATAAAATAGGCTCTTAAATCATTTATTTATGTATGTACAAATTTATCAAGCGCAACATGAAAAATAATTTCTTTCAATCGTATGAGGACAGAACCCCCGGCTGGAAAAACATCATGCTAAAACCTACATGGCCCCTTCAACCAGCTTAAGACGTCATAAGACATGCTGTTGATTTTCAGATAGTGTCTCAGGAGAGACGACAGGAACTGGCTAGAGAAAATGTGTATTTTTTTTCATTTTGAATTTAAAATAGTGTCAATGATTTCCCGATGTGCCATTATTCCTTACATGCTGCTTTTCATGAGAAACTGTACATTACTAGCTCTGCTTTTCCTAATATATTAACATTTATTCCAGTGTGTGATGCAGACATTTCAACCATCATTAAAACATGAAAGAAAGAAAAGTGTCAAAACCCTAAATTACAACAATAAAATCAACATATAATACTGTTTAACATGGGAGTTTAAAATGAGCTCAGTGCTGTGTGTCTTCCACAGGCAGTGTGGGGATCTTGAGAGCAGAGGCTGATTTTCTCTCTCGCTTCACCACTGGAGGGCAGCACAGAGCGGTCTGCAGACGAACATAATGACAGATGGTGTAATGGTGATGTTTTATAAGTTGCTGAACAGTTCGTTCCTCTTGCTCCAGTCCATGGCCGGGGCTTTCTTGGCGGATCGTTTCTGGTGGGCCCTCTCTCTGGCCTGGGCGAGGGACAGACCCAGGCCCAAGCCGTCGGCAGCTGGCTCAGGCTCAGAAGCCCTTTCGACCTGAAGGTGTGCACACACACGAGGGTGGGAGGATGAACAACAACATTCTTTATTTTGGCTCAGATGCAGAGCTTCAGGACTGTTTCAGTGACATACGTACCTCTGGAGGTGGTGAGTTATTGGATGCCACACTGGAGACTGAAGAGCTCACAGACACTCTGGTCTGTCTGTTTGCTGATGCCTGTCAAACACACGACACTCATTGTCTGAACTGAAAGGGTCAGTTTAAAAAAAAGGTCCAACTAGCTACAACTGCGGGGGAAGAGAAGAGATATAATTAACTTTACCTGCTCTGGTCCATGATTTTAATCCAAACAAATAGAAAAAATATATATATTTCTCTATATTATGAATGCTTTATCTTAGTCACTCTTTGCCTAGATGACAGCTCTGTAAACTTTGGGTAATATATTGACCTGCTTCATGAAGTACCTGCTTTTAGTGTATTTTATCTTCAAAGACTTTTATTGTCACGTTTTGTTTGTGTATTCTTTTCTTATGGATGTATTGTATTTTCTGCTCTGTGCTGCCTCTTGGCCAGGTCGTTATTGTAAATGAGAACCTGTTCTCAACTAACCTACCTGGTTAAATAAAGGAAAAATAAAAAAATAAATAAGTCATCGGCTAAAATGTCCATAAAAATAAAATACTACTGTGATGAAGACACAAGTCAGATGAGGTAAAGTCAGATAAATGAGACTGCAATAATAAGAAGTAATATTCAACTAAATGTTCCAGCTTAAAAACAGCATCTGGTTTAGTTCACAACTTCCACCCTCATGTTGAGTCCTGACCTCCATCACAGCTGTCAAGATATTTTTAACATAACTGTGTCTGAATGACAGAATGGCGTCACTTTAACAGACTGATGTAGCAACGATGTCTGTAAAGGCTTTAGGAAGATGAGAACTGTGTGGGCCAAGAAATGCAAGGAAGAGATGTTAAACCAGTCGAAATCTGGACTCGGGGGAAGATTTTCAGTACCAGCTGCTGTGTCTTTGTGAGTTGCAGAGAAAGAGAACGGATGGTGTCTGCAGTGTGAAATCCATCGTAAACCATAGAGGAGAACCTGTGATGATGCCGGTAGAGGGGCTTTGCTGGTGATACTGTCGGACATCGATTTAGAATTCACACTTTACCAACAACGTTCTGCAGAGACGCACGATCCCATCTGGTTTGAACTTAGTGGGAAAGCATTAGTTTTAGACAAAATGCACCTCCAGATTCAAGAAGCAGCGTGAAAGAGATGAGATGCCCTGGTGCTTCACAATCATCCCACCAATAGATGAACATAGAAGGAATTCCCACATATGGTGAGCGCTGTTGGCTTCTTTCCCTTCACTCTATGTTCCAACTCATTCTAAACCATCTTTGCTGGAAGATTATTAACATCAGTCTTTAAATGTTATATTCAAAAAGACGAACTGTTGGAAAATTGCAACCTGGACAAATAAAACATGGACTTGAATGGGGATGCTAGTTGTGGTGTTGTCCAGCAGGTGGCAGCAGAGCTTGCCCGAGCAGCTTCCATCACATTTTCAGTATTAAAACTGAGGTTTAGTGCCAGCATTGACATGTGTGTGTGTGAGCGGACAGTTAAAATCTGAACACACATCCATGCTTCTGTGTGATCTGCAGTGTGTGACTCTCTTCATGTGTGGAAAAATTGGCATTGAGTTCGGGAGCAGCTGTTTCTCTAAAAACAACCTGTGGTCTTTAGATTAATGCTGCAGTCTGCTATAAAATGCAAGAGTCCTCAGGTGTGAGGCTTTTTAGTTCAGACACCCTCTTTTATTTGTTTTTCATTCATGAGAGTTCCAGAGTCTATCTGAGGAGGAGTGTTTTATGTAAATGGGTGCTTTCAGGAAGCTCTCTGTGGCTAAATCAGGCCCATCCGACGATATGTTCAACAGCACACAGACAAGTTTCAGGTGACTCTTCATGCCGAGCGCTGTGTTACACAAAGCTGATGAATGAGCGATTGTTATGCTGCAGCGGAGTAGAATCTGCCTGCGTGTGATAGTGTGTGAACTGTGCTCGTTAGTCATCTCATTAGCATAATCCTTAAGTCAAAGCCACTGCAATCCCATGATCCTTCAGGACATGAGAGAGAGAGAGAGAAAGGAAGGGGGGGGACACACAGAGTGGTGAGCTCTTGTTGCCATGGCGAAGGGTCAGCCACAATGTCACCAAAGGGGGCCAATCTCCATGCTGTCAGTGTGGAGGAGGGGGGAGATCTTCTGTTCCTTTCTACGGGAGGATGTTTTTACTTCTGATAAACTGTGCCAGTGGTGCCTGTGCTGTGTTCATTAAAGGAGCATTCTACTGAGCAGCTTGTGGAAAAACCTGCATCATATTTTATCATCAAGTTCATCTGCAGCAAACCCTCCCTCTGTCTCTGTCTTTTGCTGTGTGCTTCTCTAACAACAGAGCACTAGTATCCGATGCTGGGCTGTTGCTTGCCTGGGACACGAGCTCAAAAAAAGTTTTCTAGCTTCTGGGTTTGCTTTCTTATATTGCAGCCCAGTGCAAATGCTCATCATCATCTAACCACAGGTTGCTTGGCCCATAGGCTTTACACCGTTATGACATCACCAATGTAAGACTGGTTTGTCTGGAATCTGGGGAGATGTTTACCTCCGCCAAGGAGCTTATGTTTCAGCCGGCGTTTATCTGTTTGTTTGTTTGTTAGCAAGATAACTCAAAAAGTTGCAAACAAATGCAGTATGTCTACTAAAAACAAAGGACTTCATCTAGCAAGTCCACTTTTTTATGAGTTACCTTCTTATATATGTAGCAGCCCAAAGTCACTTGAAACACAAACATAAAATAATGCTAGTTTATATACCAGCAACATCTCTGTGGTTTTGTGCACACAGTAAAGCCCATTTTTTGTGCAGTTGGCTCAGTTTTACATTACAGGTGTCTACTTTGTAGTTTAGTGTTTCAGTCCTTTTAATTTGCAATTCAGTATTTCAGAGAGTAGAGTAGAGTAGAGTTTGAAGCCCATTGCAACACAAAGCAGTGGAGCATGGTTCATGTCACTGACCACACATCTGAGTGCAACCTTGAAAGGAAACATGAAGGCAGTAAGAATGCATCACACAACACCGTCTGGAATTCGACTTGCAGAAGGTTTCACAATGGATCTGCAGGGCTACTTTGTGGGAGTGTGTGTGTGTGTGTGTGTGTGTGTGTGTGTGTGTGTGTGTGTGTGTGTGTGTGTCAGTAGTCCTAACCTCCTCCTCCTCATTCTCCGATGCTCTCTCTGACACAGGTTTGGGAAGAGGTCCTACACGGGCAACAAAACACATTGCAGCTTCACTTCATTCACATTTCCATCGATCAGTCAGCTCCGTCTGTTTTCCGAACCATATCGCAGACATTAAAGTCACAAAGCAGGATGTGCAGTACCGGTGACGTGTTCCTCAGAAGGCAGGACATGGCATCTCTTGAAGAACTCCTCAGTCTCAGCGTCGACCACGAGCAGCTTGGTCTCATCTCCTCCAGCTTTGATGGCAGCCACCACCTCAGAGTGCTGCTTCCCAACAACTGACACACCGTCGACCTGAGTAGATGCCAGGGGGAGAAACATAAGTCAGAGTCTCATATGTCTTTTTTTGGGACTTTTCCTTTTGTTTATCTGGCTCAAATTTTGGTTTGTGGGGAAGTGTTACCTATCCTGTAATTACTGATCCCCTGTTCTTTACCAAGTAGAGTATGTATTTTTATTTTTCAGCACTTTTTGTATAGAGGCGGCACCTAATGATTATTTTATTTATGGATTAATTTGTCTATTATTTATTCTATAAAATGTCAGATAAAAGCCCATCACAAAATTCCAAATTATAAGGGGACGTCATTAAAAGTTATGCTTTGTTTGACCAACGAGAAGACAAGCAGCAGCAATAGGCACATTTGAAAATATAGAACCACCAAATGTTTGCATTGCTGTATAAAATTTAGACTTTCAAAATAGTTGCAGATAAATTTACATGAATCAGCCAATTGATTCGTTGGCTACAGCTCTACATTGTATATTTTAAGTTGAATTGTTTGGACTGCCAAGCGCCCAAGCCTTGGGAGACTAATGCGGAGTAATACATTTCTGGTATCACATCCCCACGGAAGATGGCAAGCTCTAATTGGTTTGGAACCATTGTGTCTGTCGTGCATCGAGGCAAAGTCACAGCTAGAATGAATGACTCTATAATAAGTTTATCTGACACAGTGACCAACAAATATCCTGTAACATGACTTGGTATAATATGACCTTCAATATAATAATGTTGTTCTGGAAAAACCAAACAAAAAATAAAAAAAAAACTCATTTGTGGGCTTAATTCATAGTCTAAAGTCTTACAAAACAGCACGCATGACCTTGCAAATGTCACACATTTTACATCAAAACTATGTCTGACAGCAAAGATAACTAAAGTTTTGCTTATTATTACACAACTGTCATTACAGTTATACAAAGAGGTGAACTGTTCTTCCCAGAGCACTGTCTGTATTTGTAAAGGCTATAACATTGTTCACTATCAATCAGCTGTTAGTTCTATCTATGAATTGCTAGAAAATAGTGCTCATATGTTCCTCTATCTAGAGTTGATGTCTTTCAAGTTTCAATATTTTGTGCAACTAAAACTCCAAAACCCAAAGACTAATTTAACAGCAAATCCTCACATTAGAGAATTCTTGCCGGTTTATTTTCTGTGTTTGAGGGTTACAGAGGTATCTGGCTTCACACAATACATACCACAGGCTTTGGATAATTTCCAATTAAACCATGATTGTAAGACCAAACAAACAACTCAGGACCTAAGATCTCTATTTAAGTACCACAAATCCAGCAAAAGCTGCACTAAACCCACGTGGAAACTAGCTGCTCTAGTTTAACCTGGTCTGACTTTACCTACAGAAGAGGTAAAGGCACTGGGCAAGGTGACAAGCTCCACAGCTTTAAGGCTTTTCTAAAGATATGTTATTATCTGCTATTTAAAAAAATATAAATATTAGTAGTTATTCAACATTTATTAATATTGAGCTGAGTTTCAATAATTTGAGAAGCGGTTATTTTCTATTTAGACATTTTATTGTGTTCATGTCCATATTTGATTATTGATTATTTAATACTGGGTTGCATGGAGTTTGCAGTGTGGCTTCTCTCCGGGTTCTCCAGCTTCCTCCCACAGTCCAAAAACATCCATCCATCCATTATCTATACACCGCTTAATCCTCACTAGGGTCGCGGGGGGGCTGGAGCCTATCCCAGCTGACTTAGGGCGAAGGCAGGGGACACCCTGGACAGGTCACCAGTCTATCACAGGGCTACACTTAGAGACAGACAACCAAGCACACCCACATTCACACCTACGGACAATTTAGAATCACCAATTAACCTCAACATGTTTTTGGACTGTGTGGGAGGAAGCCTGAGAACCCGGAGAGAACCCACGCTGCACGGGGAGAACATGCAAACTCCACACAGGAAAGATTCCGGTGCCCCCACCGGGACGCGAACCGGCAACCTTCTTGCTACCAACTGCGGCACCTTGCAGCCCGTCCAAAACCACTGAAAGTCATGGGTGTTATAATATTCAAGCATGGCACGGAATCTTGGTCACTATGAAGAAGTCTTAAAGTTGGAAAGTGTACCAGAGGGAATGAAGAAAGAAAAAAGGTATAACTTTGAGTTTAAGGACATTTTGTTCAGAGCAGAAACAGAGAGCCTGACAAAAGAGCAAAGGCAGTATTAGAGCTTATACACAGTGACTTGGCTGGTCCTGTAGAACCAGAAGCAAGAGATGAGTTCAGCTACACTTTAGCATTCACTAATGACTACTCAGGAGCAGTTTTCTCTTTCGAACAAGCTATGGACATATATGCTGTAATGACTGCTGCAGTAAGTCGCAACACTTGTTATAACAGATACCATATAATATGTTAACAGGGAGAAATCGTAATCTTTCAAAAATGACAATATTTAGATCCGTGTGTCATCCATACAAACAGGACAAGAAATAATTTGACTCTCAACATGTAAGAACAGGATCTTTGTTGGTTATAATAAGAGCAGGTCTGCATGTCTAGTCTGCTACCCAGACACAGGAAGAGTCCTTAAAAAGAGGCTTGTGAAGTTCATCACAAAAAGTGTCATGGAACGACAGACTCAGACTCGATACTGATGTGCTGATGTACTGATCTCTTCATTGGTCGCCTCCACCGCTTTGGCAAGTTGACAACAGCCTATGATCTGATCTTCTCATCTTAGACTACATCTTCTCAAAATGGCAAACGGTTTGCTTGCAGAGGTAAAAACACTCCAGTCACTTGGAATTCATGGTACATTTTAACCACTGAAAATGTGTTATATGTTCTTACTGATCATTCACAAGAAAGGCTACATATAAAGTGAATGACGTCATGAATGAAATGACACCTGACAGCAGGAGTAATGGTACCAGTGTCTGAAAACGTTGAGCAATGCTGTTATCACAGGGCGTGGTGTACAAGCACACTCCCAGAGTTGGACCAAAACAACCACCTAAGGAGATAAGTCACTGAGGAATTCCTGTGGGAGGAAGATTGGAGGTGGGAAAACCCATCAGGAATCTGAGTCTCACAGCTCCCACACTGACTGTGAATGTCAGCAGGTGGTACAGAGCGCTGGTGACCCTGCCCTGCACACACAACTCACTGCATTCCACTTTCTAAGATCAACCTTTTAAATCTTTGCAGGCGTCCTGCTTCAAGCTTCTATCTCCGTGTGTAGTCTGTATTTACAGTTGTAAGAGTCCTCTAAGTCCAGTTCTCTCCTGCACGTGAGAGGCCCTGAAGACTATTTAAGCAGTCTGTAATTCGGACAACAGACACGGTAAGTGGATTAACTTCGAGAAGCATAGCCAGAGGGGCTAGGTTTCTCTCTCTCTCTCTCTCACACACACACACAGAAGCATGTAGACAAACACAACTGTATGCAAAAATACAGTAAACATGTCTGCATCATAGCTAAACACATTTCTCCCCATCTACTAACATTTCCACAGAAAAGTACATTAAGTGCGTACATGTGATCGAGATTGAAAAAATTGTACCTGGATGATCTTGTCCTGCGGTCTGAGGCCGGCTCTCTGAGCTGGAGAGTCTTCATCCACAGCTCTGATGAACTGGCCTGGTTTGGTCTTCTCACTGTGCAGGTTGAAGCCGTAGCCATTGGCACTCTTCTTTAGGTGACACAGACGAGGCCGCAGTCCTTCCACGTCCTCCTGCACACACACAGACAGACAATATCAGTGTCAATATCAGTCAACTTGTAAGATTAAGTGAAACATACAAGATATAAAATTAAAATGATATACTAACAGCAAAGAACAACAAGTGAACTGCTACCATCAAACAGTTGTTCAAAGTGTTTTTAACTTCTCCTCAAACTCTGTCTAAAGGAAGCAGATTGTCTCACGGGCCTTAAATAATAATAATAATAATAATAATACTTTATTAATCCCTTACAGAGAAATTCCATTCACAGTTACATCCGTCCAAGGGGAGACAGGAACTGTCGGGACTGCCAGCTAAGCCAGCGCCCTTATCTTAAACAGAAAAGAGGCATGAATCTAAGAGGTTGAGCTTGACTTCTCCAATGCAATGGAATTGGTGTGCTCACTAAGGGATTTTAATCGCGGGTCTAAGGGATCAGTTTAACAGGTTCAAGTCTACAGTCGTCTGTCTCCAAGTGTAGCCCTGTGATAGACTGGTGACCTGTCCAGGGTGTCCCCTGCCTTCGCCCTGAGTCAGCTGAGATAGGCTCCAGCCCCTGCGACCCTAGTTAGGATTAAGCGGTGTATAGATAATGGATGGATGGATGGATGGAAGTCTACAGTAAAGGAGCTGTTACCTGGTAACATTCAAATTTAGAAGGCTGACACAGAAAGAGTAAGACTGCGTAACAAATTCACTGTGTGAATCATCCAAGATAGAAGTGGGAGTGACACTGACTGGCCATCGAAATATGTTAGTGGTTTTCAATGTGGTCATCACCACATTTATGACAGAATTAGACTAAAGGTATGAATCCTATAACGCACTGAAAAGCAGCTTTGAATTTGTAAATGAAAATCCCCAATGTGATTCCAAAAACAATCTAATGATTCATTACAAAGAAAAAACTGTGAGCACACTTTATTTTAACTTTATTTTTCCAGTGCAGTCCACTTCCACATGTGGCTTACATCAACCAAAGATTCCACATTAGTCTAATTCTAAATTCTAAGGTGTGTACACTATTTACACTCTGTAGGCCTGTTGCTTATTTGTAGAAATAACAGGAGTCAGACTGAAAGCAGGACACTGAAGTCAAAAACATGCAGGATCTTTAAAAAAAACAAAAAAAAAAACCAACTCATGCATAATGGGATAAGATTGGTAACTAAATGAAGCATCTGTACTCTCTTACAGAGACTAATCCTGCCATCGCCTGTGCCTGGTTAGGTGAGTAATCCCACGTGCTGGGGAAAGACCAGGGTGTGTGTGTGTGTGTGTGAGTGTCTATATATTATTAGTGACTTAATTTAACCTAAACATAGTGTATAGGCTAATTTTAAGAAATTCAAATAAATCCGTTTTTCTTATACGTTTTTTTTTTTTTTATAATTCTTGAATATAAGACAATTCTTACGTTACAGTTAAAACACTCAAATGGTGCTATACTGCCAGTCGGAAAAAAAGTAAACCATTTCATCTTAAGTATAAAATAATCAAATAAAGTTTCAATTTAACCTTGCAAAAAGGAATTGGTGCATGTATGTAGACAAAACTTCAGCAACTGCTTCGATCACAGGCTTTACTGAACTGAACATTGTGCACCAAACCCTTTAATGTGGTATCAATATTTCTTTTTCTTGACAGAAACTGGCCTCCATGGCCACAGCCATTTACTGCCAATATTTTATAGAGAACACCTCAGGATCTTTATTAAAAAATACATTCCTCATCTCCTGCATTTCTACCATAAAAATGCTGCTATCTGTGTAACATCCTTGGCTATCAGTGGCTATCTGTAAATGATTCCTCGCCCAGTGATCATTTAAGATCATCCGGTGCAGCCTCAGCATTGCCTCAAGACAAACTCCCATCTCAGCCATGCACAAAGTGGATTATGCATTGATCCAAAGGTTTATATGAAATGGGGCTGGCTAATGATTGCTGAAACAACCTGGGTGAGTCACTCTGTGGTCTTGAGAGGACCTGGGGTGAGGTTGGACCTTTGGATGGACTCACATGTTTATGATAAACCCTGCAGCTGTTAATGAAGATGATAAAACAGGTGAGGTGAAAAGTACACCACTGGAATGCTGCACTCTATAATTATTACCACAAGCAGAGGCACATAGTGTCTTCTGGGCATATGGACCAAAATCATTGATTAGTCAACAAGTTGATCGATAGACAATTTATTGCTCACTATTTTGATATATCATGCATCTGATATAACAGATGCATGATTGTTTAATTTTTGTGACAACCCAGTAGAACTCAACTGGACTTCTCTTCAAGGTTCTTGAAGATATTTCACCTTTCACACAAGAGGCTTCTTCAGTTCTTGCTGAGTGATGAGGAGTTTCCGTCGCTCCGGCTCACACGGTCAAAGAATCATTGGTTGTAGTTTTTTTAAAAGTGAAGATTTTAAGCTTTGTCATTTCTGATAGTAAACTGAATATCTTGGATTACAGAGACACACAACTATTCCAGAAAATAATCATCATATTAATCAGTCATGCCAATAATCATTAGTTGTACATTTGTCCCTCTAAACATCTAAAGAAAGAGCTAGACTGCTGATAATCTTTCATGTCGGCTGCAGCTTCTACTGTACAGAGGACCTTTATTTCCTGACTTTTGGATTTTACTGATCACAACATTAGTATATCGGTTCACTCACAGTTTAGGTTAGCATTCTTTCCAGCTGTAGGCAGCTGTTACAGTAAAAACGTACTGGACAAGCTGCCTGCTTTGCACGCAGGAGTCAGTAGTAGTAGCAGGTGAACATTGTGGGGGATTCTGAAGTTAAATCTCGAGGTATTTCTTTAAGGAGTCCATATTGGAGCTGAAAGTAAAGGAACAGCAATTTCAGCATTTCCCCAAGTCTGTAAAAGTTCAAATGGACCCCTCCCAAAATGGCGCAACATTTGTGTTCATACAGACAGTTCACACAGCAACAACACTACAAGAGCAGTCTTATATGCTTCTAAGTGGAATACGCAGATACAACCTACTGCTCAGGTATGGAACAGAGTCCTTCCAGCAGAGTGCCAGCAAACAAGTAAGAAGCATAGTAACAACAATTATGTGTTGGCACTGTCTGTAGCTGTCTGTTTGTGCATCCACAGAGGAGTATAATCAGGGCCTGAGTCATCAAAAACCTTTTAGCTGTAGCGGAAGAATCTAGTAAAAAAGAAACACACACACACACACAAATATGTAGTGTCTAACTACTAATAAACACAGCCATGAAGCAAACACACTAAAACATGTTTTAGAGGATGCGTTGTGACATTTGTTGATGATGTAACATCCACACAGTGTTGTATGCATTCACAACTTTCCATCAATAGACCTTTGTTACCTGAACAGGTACTGAGATTTCAAGTTTTAATGAGTAATCTTTCTTTCAAGTCCACCATTGATAAGCAGAGGTCACACGGATGATTTGAGAAACATTTTGTAACTCCTGAGGAGTATGTGAACCTGTCATGTAAGATGAGCAAGCACCATATAATCCATTTACTGCACCACAGGGGAGCAGAGAATCAGCCTGTGGCACAGGTGGTGGCCGGGAATAAACTTCCACCTCTCTACCTTTGAGTCATAGTTTAGTCTTGTCTTTCTGCCAACTACAGAGAATCTATCTCTGCAATGGTTATAAGCGACAGAGACACACAGGATGCCTAGATCACTATAGACTGCTCTATTACATCACCAGGATCCCTTTATTCCACTTTTTCCCAAGACACTTATAACCCCAGGTAGCAATCAGTTGGTGGTCAGATCAGTGTCTATTTGTGCAAGATCAAGCCTGCTGTTTTTGTTAAGGATGACTCATTGGCAACGGTCTGGGCGTGATGACAGCACCCAGTAGGGAAGTGGAGGAGAAATAACGAACGGAGCAAGTCAGTGCCAGACTAACTTTCCATTAGATGACATCCAAAATCAAACATTCCTCAGGTGAATGTGTAAAATCCTCACCATCCCATTCTCTTGCAGGCATCTAACTACTGATTCCTTCAACAAGCAGACCAGCAGGTGTCTCCCTGTGCTGTATTTCCCTTGTATGTGACCTCTTTACAAAAAGGCTGCAGAGCTGTTTGCTAAAGCTGAGAACTGAGTCAGTAAGCACACATGCCAACTTGACAGCGAAGTTGAGAAACGTATGAGAGGAAGCGAGTCACTTCCACTGCATGTATCTTCTTCAGAGCATGTAAGCAGTACTTTCTGATTTTCGGGCTGTTTTTTTTGCATGCACAGGAAACCACAGTATCAGCAGAGCCACACCAAACAGTGCACTGACAGCAAGTACTATATGATAACATCACCACTGAATAAACTCCAGCACAGAGTTTCTTCTTTCTACTAAATTAAGGCAGTTATTGTATTTGGCCCTAAACACCTCACAAAATATCTAATGATATAGTGACTTTGGATAGCATGTAATACTACTGTGAGTAATCTTAGAGCATTTTTTCACCAGGATAGGTTCTTTAACTCACACAAAATAAGTCTTTAGGACCACACCGCATTAGGAACATTCTGTCTCAGAGTGACAAACTAGTCCATCTGTTTGGAACCTCTAGATTTGACTACTGTCATGTGTTGTTATCAGGATGTCTCAATAACTATGCAAAACTCCAGCTGAGCCAAAAAGCTGCAGCCAAAGTTCTGACAGGAACCAAAAGGAGAGACCATATTTCTCTCTTCAGTGGCTTCCTGTAAAATCCAGGATAGAATTTACAATTATTCTCCTCACATACAAAGCTTCTAATGACCAAGCTAATTCGTCTCTTCAAGACCTTATTGTACCTTATGATCCTGAGAGCACTGCTTTCACACTGCAGGCTTACCTGTCGTTGCTAGAGTTTCCAAAATTAGAGTGAGAGGAAGTGCCTTTACTTATCAGGCTCCTTCGATGTGGAATCTACTTTTAGGATTAGTTTTAAAACTTTCCTTGAAGTATATAGTATTTCCTTTTCTCTAGTTTCGCTCTCTGTCCTCT